GGGTCCCCATCTCTACACAGTGAGTCCTTGTCCTCTGCTGCCCATGGCTTGGGTGACTATTCAATAGTCTTTATATTCAATGCAATCTTGAATGCTTCTGCAGGTCAAGAATCCCCAGAGCTTCCTCATCTCATACCTCTGTCCTTGCCTGAGAAGCACCCTCAGCCCAAGCTCCAAGTGCTGCCACAAGCTAAGCCCCCACCTGTCTCTCATGGCCAGACCCAGGCCCATCTTCCATCTCGACCCAGAATCCCACCATCTGGTCCTCTATCCAAGACGAGGATCTGTGAAGTGTGTTTCTGTGGACCCCAGAATGATTTAGACTCTCTCAGCTCATCTGAAATTCAAGAGCCAGAATGGAATGTGTGTTGCAGAAGCAGCAAGAATGTTCGTGGGGTTTACCCACTGTGGTCCAAAGATCTCAGGTGAAATTTTGTCCTCTGGCTCCTTCCTTTCCCATCTGCAAGGCCTCCCAGCCCCATGCTTCAGTCTCTATCCTTCCTGGAGAATTTCCTCTTAGTGATGAGATTTGGAAGAAACTAGAACAGCACCTTCGAAAGAGGCTCATTAAACACCGGTATGGTCTGCCCTACAGGGTCCTAGAATCTTTATCACGGATGATGCCACCGAGTGATTCTTTAGAGATATCTGGGTCAAAGAGAGATCATGATCCAGAGGGCTCTTCATATGAGGACCTAGTATATGACTCTGAGGAAGAACTACAGAGTCACATGGTGAGACTCTCAAGGGGGTTAGGGGAATATGAAGGCTGGAGAGAACTTGTGAATATCCTAAGAGTACATCTGAGCAAGAAGTCTGAGGAAATCAGTCAGGGTCAGCTCCCTGGTGCTGTGCAGAATTCATGGGAATGTATGCAGACTGCTTCCTGAGGAATCCCACATTCAATCTAAACAGAGTAGTTTGCCACCATCAGTGGATGAAGACTACAAATGGAATACCTTCCAGGAACTTTCCTTCATTGATTCCAGTGTAAAACAGGTACTGGAAGCTCATATTAAAAAGTTTCATATGAGGATGGTGTGGGGACTTCCCGCCTAGGGTCCTTGAATCCATAGAGATTTTTAAATTGAAAAATGTCTCATCCTACTCCTTATCCTATTCCAACTACCATTCCTCAGCCAACTTGGTGTCTGGGGCAAACTCCAAACCTGAGAGGCTGCAAATCAAGCCCCATAGAGGGTGCTCTACTCCTGATGGAGACAGAGTGGGGACAGTAAGTTCAGCCCCTGTATTGCAGTATCCTCTCCCTGCTACCTCACTTGTGGCCAAAGAAGGATAAGAGACGTTGAGACGATCACCCCCTAATATTAACCATGAGATTGCCAAGGATATTCAGGGAATCAAGGAGGCTGGACAGACTCTTGGGCATGTCATACACAGCATCAAAGGCCAAGCTACTCACAGTCAGACTCTACCGGCCAACAGGAGCCTCTCAGAGCTGCCCCCAAAGCAAGCGGGGCCTCTATATGAGTGAGAGTATAAGACTGTGAAGTCTAGTAATGAAGTAGAAATGCAACACGGCAAGAAGACAGAGAAGATTTTAAAACCTGTTTCCGAGCTCGGCATGTCCAGGAATATATTTAGGGCTGCAGAGGTGGATACTCTTCAAGGACAAATTAGTGACATCTTGACTACCAGCAAGCCAGGAAGCTCCCAAATGAAAAATGTGAATGGTTCTGTGACAACTGAATGCCACCCACCAAATATTTTGGGTCCCCGAGATCTTAAATCAAAAGACCTGAGACAACAACTGTTGAATGTGTTAATGGTAAAATTTGACAGTGAGACGCATGCCCAGGCCGAAGGCCAACCCACTCACATGTCCCTTGCCTCAGATGGTTTGATGTCCAAGACCTCACTGACTCATGCTCAGGGTATTTCCAGTGGGGACATGGGACCTTTCTAGGAGCTACATGTCCATGTGGAGGACAGAGGCAGCAGCATGGAGCATCAGCAAGAGCCTTGTGTCCCTAAGTGTATCTTAAGGAAGTGCCTGGGTGAGAATTTCCCTCCAGGTGCAAAGAAAGCAAGTCCTCCAGGCTCCACAGCTAAAGGGACTGGAGGAAGGGATGCAGAGTTGGGAACATCCCAATCAGAAAAGAAGAGTTCCCCGGCAAGGGAGACACTTGGGATGAAGTTTTTGCAGACACTGTCCCAGAAGGCTCAGCCTGACAAAAGCCATTTCTGCCAAACAATGAAACACTTTTTTAAATGGATTTGTCCTGGCAAAGAAAATCCCCAGGAAAAGAGCAGCACAGAGCCAAGGTGTAGTTCAAAGTAGAGCTGCCTTTAGTGGAATGACTGAAGCTCAGAAAATCATGACAGACACCAGGAAGTTCTTAGAGAACAAAATGGGGTGCCAGCAAGAATTGGTAGCACCCACTTGGGGGCAATCTTTCAACCACAAGGCTCCCTCCGGTAAAGTGGCAAATAACCAATGTGGCCACCAAGAAACTCTCTCTTCTGGCCACAGTTACCCTTCAAGTACTCTACAGATCAGAGAGTAAGACAGGTACCCAGCTCTTGGTTCAGAAGCACACCTCATCCATGCCCCACAAGGATGCTGTGCCTTATGCATGCCCCACCAGCAGACATCAAGCCTGCCAGGGGCCTCCCGCTGCTCTCACCACTGCTGAAAACACTGCATTCAGAGATCTGTCTTACAGTTTATAAAGAAAACAATTCTCCAAGTTTTCCAGAAATGAGAATTTCTTTCCCCTAAATAATTCTTTCCTTGTGGGTAATATTGATTCTCCCCAATAAATGTTTCTCTAATAATAGTGATTTCTGTGTTCTCTGCGGGGGCATGGGTTTTGGGTAACTCTGGACTTGTACTTAGGGAAAACAAAGAGTCCAGCCTCAGTCATTGCTTCCTTTGACTTCTAAAAGGTGACATGACTCCTGTTGCTCTTGTTGAGAAATAGATCTCATGTGTTCCCAAAAGCCCATGTCCTCCCTGACGAAGTTTGAAGAGATGAGTTCGGTCTCCCATCTCTTAGCTTAGCCTTATTGAAAATGTATGGCAGCCCACACCTTCCCCACTGACTGTTTTATACCCCTTAGAGTGCTAGGGAGGACAGGTCATCTATATCTGAAGAGGGTCAAGGACAGGTATATTTTTCAGAAGATAACATTCAAGAAGAAGCAGTGGCTTACTCATCATTTAGAAGTGAGTAACCAGAGGATCCCACAGGTGCGTAAACCCTGAATGGGAGTGTCTGGGGTGGGTATTGCTGCAGTGGATCCTGAGATAGTTGGGGTAGGGTCTGGAAACTGTACAGATGCTGCTTAAGCATCTGTCATGTGGGTCATGTTATTGTGTTGGGGAAGCATACTTTCACCTTGACAGTGAGGTTTCCCTACTGGAAAGGCACCTTGGGGAAGTGGTGGTTCTCCATCCTGGGTATTTCTTCAGGCTGCCTGATTGATGACATGCTTCTGCAGAGCAAAATCATGGGCCAGCTGTCACTGGTAGGAATGTTGACCAGGCAGCCATCTACCTCCCAGTGTAAAATAAAGCTGAGAGTAAGGAAAGAAGGCCTAGTCATGAGTTGGAAAACAACAAAAGTTGATGAGGGGAAAGAATGACCTTGCGGGTGGAAAAAGGTACATCTTGTCATCCCCATATCATAACCCTGTACTGCTCCCCACTTCCTCCAGTCAATCCAGGCTCTACCTCCTTGGGGATGATCAGGCCACAGCACAGCATACTGATGCCTTTTACTAAAAGGGTGTGGGCTGGTCTGAGTACAAAAACAGTATCTAGAGGGATGTCATCAGGCATGGCATCCTCTTCTTTGGGGAATTTGATTTTCATGCCTTCACCCTTCCACGCTTGATGGCAAAATACAGGATCTTTCCCTTAGTATGTACAGTTCATTTATAAGGATGGACATGCCACCTTTCATATTCATGGCCTTGGTGGAGCCTGGTTGATCTCCCCCAGAACACCTGTTGCTCATGGACCAGAGGTGAATCCAAGACTATGCATTGGGGTTACAGATATCTGGGGGCTCACCATGAACCTGCATAGAATATTTTTTTGGCCAAGACTGCTCACATACGCATA